AATTAAATAAAACTCAGATTTCTCACCTTAAATTGTCTTTTGTGCCAAACAGTCTGCCAAACTTGTCTGGACTTGCTTCTTGCTTGTTCAGTGGGGCAGATTTGAAATCAAGAACTCCATTTGTGTGGAAATTTGAGTTATTGACCCAATTTCTTAGGGTTGATACAAGTTAAATATTGTTTCAAACTAATTGACAGACATATTTACCTTTAAATTAGCCACATTTTTTAGTTGATGTAATTATCAATATTCTCCTGATGTGATAACTTCATCAAATTAATCTGACAACTTAAAAGTTTTAATCTAATCAGTAATTTAGAATTTAGAAGTTATAACAAGGTATTAAACCAGGGGTCTCAAACTCGCGGCCCGCGGGCCATTTGCGGCCCTCAGTGCAATATTTTGTGGCCCGCGCCGACCGCTGTACTCTGACAGAATTCTATCCGTACACAGCGCGCTTGTCACTCAATGCGCGTTGTCGCGCTCGTTCTGATCAGCTGTGTTGTCGCGCGCATACTCTAGAGCGGTGTTGTCGCGTGCCTACTGAAGGGCGGGGCCGAGGGTGTGTCGCGTCGCGGGGGCACTTTTGATCATTTTGGAAGGGCACTTTCTATGCAAGACTAAAAAGGGCATGTGCTCTGCACAGGTTGAGCCCTATGTGTGCACGTGCCTCCCCTGCATCTTATATATATTGATATTATAGGTAGATACAGACTGGTACAGACTGATGTGACTGGAGTGGGGTGGGGGTGTTTTATTTATACATACGCCTTTTTTTAGGAGAGGGAATGGAAGTTTTAAGTGAGTTCCCCCACTTTTTTCCCTAGGACTTCAATAAGTCAAAGTACAGGTCTAGACTTAATGATGATCATCTTCAAGCCATACTGAGGGTCTCAACTGCTTCCGCTCTAAAGCCAAAAGTGGTTCAGATTTGTGAGAAGAAGCGCTGTCAAGTCTCTGGCAGCAAGAAGTAGGCAAAAGATGCCATGTTCAGAAGAACTGTTCATAATCTTCACTCAATGTTCTATTAATGTTCAGGACACTTCATGTTCAGAAGAAATAATTAAAACTGTTAATAATGACATTTGAGGACTTTTTTTTTGTGAAATCCCTTATGCGGCCCAGCCTCACCCAGACTTTGCCTCCTGCGGCCCCCAGGTAAATTGAGTTTGAGACCCCTGTATTAAACTATGTAGTGGTAACACACCTCTTGAGTTATTTTTAAAGTGTACAGTCTTCTTGAACTGGACTTTGTTTATGTTGTGTTTATGTTGATGTGCATTCAACTGAAATGGAATATTAAGTAGTGGGCGGGGCTTTCTTATTGCACATCCTTCCCTCATAGCAAACTAATGGTAAGAGGGGCGTGGCTAAGAATATTGTGGCTGAAGCTGTCAAAACTGACGTCAACAAAGTCGATTTGATTGAAGATTACCAAAACTTTTTTTTTTTTCTGTGGGTTAATTTACACTGATTAAGTATTTACCGGTGATGCGGTGGCGCAGTAGGTAGTGCTGTCGCCTCAAAGCAAGAAGGTCGCTGGTTCAAGCTTCGGCTGGGTCAGTTGGCATTTGTGTGGAGTTTGCATGTTCACGTTCGCGTGGGTTTCCTCCGAGTGCTCTGGTTTCCCCCGCAGTCCAAACACATGTAGTACAGGTGAATTGGGTAGGCTAAATCATCCATAGTAAATGAGTGTGAATGGTTGTTTCCCGGAGATGGGTTGCAGCTGGAATGGCATCCGGTGCGTAAAACATATGCTGGATAAGTTTGCGGTTCATTCCACTGTGGCAACCCCGGATTAATAAAGGGACTAAGCCGACAAGAATTTCACACTGACTTTAAACTCAGAATTGAGTCAAACAGACCATATCACACTCACGCCAGAATTATTTTAATGTTAAAAGCATATTCTTTAGAAAATGACCATATTTTCTGGCCTTGGATGATTTGCACCTGTTGTTGGAGGCTCAAATAAATTATTAGGACACTTTAAAATACCACATGACTTGCTCTTTAACACCAAACCTTGTGTACTGGAGCTCCACAAGGCCTCAGTGAATTATTCAGGGCTTCTCTTATCAATAAGAAATGCCAAAGGGCCACATTTGTGCAGGAGGATGGTCTATTTCTGCCTGGCGTGTAACCCGAGTTTCAGTGACACAGCATTGGTGGAAACTTTCCATCACACCGTCACCACTGATGCTTGATAGCGATAGAGGCTCATGAAGAAAACAGCATGCAGAATAAGAGTCCTGATAGCAGCTGACAGGCGGATAATCTAATCAGGGTCACAAGTGCATCGACGGAAATCAGTGTGGAGTTGAGATAATTAGTTGGGAATGAAATAAAAGTGCAACTTTAAATGGATAAACAAAGCCATTGTGTGGTAAAGTGCAATGCAAATTTCACTGGTTCAATTAACCCAACATTTGACCATCTCCGACCCAAAGTTGAAATGCCTGTCTACAGAGATCAATACAGTTTATGAACTTGTGCATATTTTGAGGAAGATTACACTCTAAAAAAACATGGGGTTATTTATTCTACCCAAATCTTTTTGGGGGTTATTTTCAGAGTCTTTGGTAGTTTCAACCCAGCTCTTTCAAATCAACTCACAGCAGGGGCTGACTGGGATACATGTACTAATTTGTTTAAATGCAATGAAAATAGTGTAACATAAACGCAGATTCCTTGTGTTTTCAGATGATTAAAATGAGATTAATGCTCATAGCAGCCCTTAGTCAGACCTTTCTGAATTATTAAATTTCTTACTAACACCTTTTGTGCACCTGTAATCAAAGTTGCACATCCCCATCATACTTCAGTGACACCGAGTCAAAACATTCAATTTGCTGGGTCATCGTTCACGGGCATTTTTGGATCAAATAAACCTAATATTTAAGTAAAAATAACCAATGATTGGGTAGAAAATACAACCCATTTATGAGGTTAAAAATAATAACCCCTAATGTGTTTTTTCCCAGACGTACATATTTGTAATTTCAATGATTAATAGAAATATATATTTGGAAATATTGCATTTATGACATACAATTTACATATGCGAAAGCCAAATAGGAACTTGTATGTCATATAGGCTGGGACGATGACCGTTTTCAAGGTATACCGTGGTTTGGAAAAGCCAAGGTTTTAAAACCGCCAACATTTTCTGTAATACCATTCCTGTAAGATTTTTTATTTACATTTTTATTTAGTTTTTTAGGACAGCAGTATCTCCAGCAGAAACAATATCCAAAGATGCCATTTTTTAAATTGTAAAGAAATCTGCGCTGAAGTCAATGATTTGTTGTAATTATTTGCACATGTTTACTGCTTCAGATCATTATAAATGTTTCTCAAAATAAAATATATTGTGTTCAAAGGGGAAAAAGATTTAGTTTTTTTACCCAGACATTTAAAAAGAGTATATCTTAGAGCAGTGAGCATAATACTACCGGGAAATATCCAAGGTTATCATACCGTCAGAATCTTATACCGGCCCATGCCTAATGTCAAATATGTAATTTGCATATATAATCTGCCATATATCAGCTTCCATGTGGGATATAGACAGAGATTAAGTTGAATTGAACCCGGTAAATTTGTATCGGTATGTTGGCATCAACAATGAATGAGTTAATTAATTATTAATTTATTTATAATAATTAATTCTAAAATAAAAATGATGCCAACATACAAATATACTGGGTTCAATTCAAGTTAATCTTAGTCTATAGTATCCCAAATCGAAGCTGATATATGGCCGATTATATATGCAAATTACATAAATGAAAATTTATTCATGTGAAATCCAGATATGAACTTTTATGTCATATATGTCATTTGTATATATAGTCTGCCATAAATCAGCTTCTATGTGGAATACTAGACTATAAGTATAGCTTGAATTGAACCCAGTATATTTGTATCAGCATTTTGGCAGCATCTTTTATCAGAATTAATTATTATAACTAATTAAATAAAAAAAAAATAATAATAAATAAATAAATAAATAAATAAATAATTAATGGCCGGAATAGTGGCGCATTGGCTAGACTAAAAATAGTTTGAATTAAACCCAGTATATTTCTATCAGTATTTTGGCAGCATCTTTTATCAGAATTAATTATTATAAATAAATAAATAAATAAATAAATAAATAAATAAATAAATAAATAAATAAATACATAAATAAATAAATAAATAAATAAATAAATAATTAATTAATGGCCGGAATGGTAGTGCAGTGGCTGGGCTATAAGAATAGTTTGAATTTAACCAATAAATTTGTATCAGCATTTTGGCAGCATCTTTTATCTGAATTAATTATTATAAATAAATAAATAAATAAACAAACAAACAAATAAATCAATTAATTAATTAATTAATTAATTGAATAAACAAACAAACAAACAAATAAATAAATAAATAAATAAATAAATAAATAAATAAATAAATAAATAATGGCTGGAATAGTGGCGCAGTGGGTAGTGCTGTCGCCTCACAGCAAGAAGGTTCTGCTTCGAGTCCTGGCTGGGTCAGTTGGCGTTTCTGTGTGGAGTTTGCATGTTCCGCCTGTGTTGGCATGTCTTAAGACATGTGCTGTAGGTGAAATGGGTAAGCTAAATTGTCCATACTGTATGTGTGTATGTCCTGGTTCTCCAGGTTTGGGGTTGAGCAATGGGCTAACAACCCACCTCATAAAAACTAGATGTTATAAAACACCAATATGGTGCAGCTGAATATCAGCTTTGACATAAATGGCCCTGGGAGTGAGCAAGTAAGTAAATTAATAATTAATTTGAATTAATTAAATATATTTTACCATATTTTTCCTTTAAATATAATGTAGCACTCTTTCAGATTTTTTTCTAATGTTCAAAGTTGTTGCAATATTATATTGGTAACTTCTTTTGAAATTCAAATTAATTAATTAATAAAGTCTGTCTGCTCGATCAGTCCTGCTGCCTGTCTTCTTCTCTATCTAGGCATCTTGATGTAACCTTCTCTGATTCATCCTTCTTCCCAAATATGGAGTTCCCGGAAGCGGCCGCCGGGACTCAGTTGAGTGACAGCAGGAGCCGCAGCGCCAGACCTCCTTAATATCCGATCCACATCTCGCTTTTTATAAAGAAAACGTGAGAACAAAGCCCGGACCGCACCATCTGAGGTAATATTTCGGTAAGATCAACTCTGTCTCTGTCATGCTTTTATTCCAGGTCGTTTGCGGGTCGCGAGGCGCTCATTGAAGCGCGCGTGCGTGTGTGTTTTTGGACGGAGACGCGGGCGCTAGTTAATTGAGCTTTGACTAGCGGCTAGCTTTTCTAGGGGGTTTGTTGGTGTGTTTCTGTCAGAGGGCAGAGGGTGTCTTATCTTTTCGCTAATTACATGATCTGTCAGTTGTCATATCAGCTCGTGCAGACGCCTTCTGTCTGTGGGACAGAGATGAACACACACACACACAGACTTACTTTCGCTCTGTTACACACACACACAACTGATGCTGACTAGCATACTAGTAGTTCACTTATATTCTCTCATATTTAAATCAGTCCTTGAGGTAAATTTGGCTTCATTTTCATTCATTTGAACGTTTTCCTTAATAATATAATATCACATAAATATTCCTAACAAATTCTAAATTTTAGTGAAGTTATATTAGCAGCCAATGACTATCAAAGTACAACATTGTTCACAGTAAATAGTGCTAATGTAGTTTTTAAGTCATACTTACATGTGATTTCAGACCGAATATTCAAAGTACTGTAGTAAACAAACAGTATAGGGAGCATGTCACAAGTTGTCACTGAGCGAACATGTGAATATTAAACCAGAGGCAGTAAAAAGGCAGACAGGTTTATTTTTCTCCAGAAGAAAGGTTAAAAACTTTCCTTCAAACCATTGTTCATTCTTTTACAGTAAAAAATACTTATTTGTTTTACAATTATTGGTTTTTCGTTTTAATTTACATTAGATTGTAATAATACAAGAAAGTGTTGGTAATTCTGTTCAAGTAGTTTTTTGTTTTGTTTTGTTAAAAAGTACTAATAAGAGAACCGTTAAAGTACTGAACCGATAAGTGGTATCAATAAAAGTACTATTCATTCATTTTCTTGTCGGCTTAGTCCCTTTATTAATCCGGGGTCGCCACAGCGGAATGAACCGCCAACTTATCCAGCAGGTTTTTACGCAGCGGATGCCCTTCCAGCCGCAACCCAACTCTGGGAAACATCCACACACATTCATACACTTCGGACAATTTAGCCTACCCAATTCACCTGAACCGCATGTGTTTGGACTGTGGGGGAAACCGGAGGAAACCCACGCAAATGCAGGAAGAACATGCAAACTCCACACAGAAATGATGACTGAGCCGAGGCTCGAACCAGTAACCTTCTTGCTGAGAGGCGGCAGCACTACCTACTGCGCCACTGCTTCGCCCTGATAAAGGTAGTAATACTGTTAAAACATTAATGATACACATCCCTGGCTATAGGGGAATTGAATAAACAAAATTTTTAGTGCATGAGTGTGTGTGTGAATGTGAGAATGGGTGTTTCCTAGTACTGTTTTGCAGCTGGAAGGGCATCCGCTGTGTAAAACATGGATAAGTTGGCGGTTCATTCCGCTGTGGCGACCTCTAATGAATAAAGGGAATAAGCCGAAGGAAAATGAATGAATTATGCATGTAAATTTAGACAACTTCAGGAAAATTATGGTCTGTAAGGTCATTCTTGATTAGATAGTAAAACTAAAATTCTGTCAGACAGCCATTGTTCTTGTAATCTATTTACAGATAATGTTCACACCCCTATTGGTGACCATTTGTCAAAATTATTTGGCAAATGATGTAGTAGATGAACGAAGCAAACCATATTTCAGAACATCCTCCGGATTATTGGTGCCTTGAGAAGTGGATTAATCTGCATTAAATGCAGCCAGTGACTTAATGAAAGCATGTCACACTCACATTGAAGGCATATCATGTGAACTGTGCTTTACTAGCACATGGACTCACCGTCTGTCTCTGTGTCCGGCTGAAGCGTTGCTCTGCTTTTAGACTCTGAGAATAGACTTTCAGAAATAGATGAGAGTGCCTGGTAACTGCATCAGTCAACTATTCCTTCAGGATTTGCATCATGCTGTGCTGAATGTTGTATTTAAGGTTGAGCAAGTACTAACTGATGAATGCTTCTATGTTTGGCAGGAATATGTCCGTTTTTATCAAAAACTTCTCACACACTGATAACTGCTGCTAATTGTTGATCATAGATCAATACAAACATATGCTCTGAATGAACCATTTGAATCTGTGACTTGTTAACTTGAGACTCACTCTGAATAGATCATTTGAATCAGTGAATCGGTAACTGCAGATTCACTCTGAGTAGATAATTTGAATTGGTGAATCATTAACTGCAGATTCACTTCAAGTATTTGATTTTAATCAGTGAATCGTTAACTGCAGACTCACTTTGACCAGATTATTTGAATCGGTGAATTGTTAATTAGAGACTTGGTCTGACTGAATCATCTGAATCAGTGAATAGTTAACTAGAAAACTCACTTTGAATGGATCATTTAAATCTGAATCATTCATTAGAGACTCTCGCTGGATCAATTGAATCTGTGATTCTTCAATTGAACATTTGTTCTGACTGAATTGTTTGAATCTCTAGATCTTTAACCGGACATTTGTTCTGACCAAATCATTTAAATCAATAAATATTCACCTATTCAGACTGGATCATTTAAATCAGTGAATCATTAACTGTACACTAGTTCTAACCAAATCATTTCAATCATTAAATAGACACTTGGTCTGACTGAATCATGTGAATCATTGAATATATTACTGGAAAATTGTTCTGCCAAAATCATTTGAATCTGTGAACCTTTAACTGGACATATCTTCTGACTGAATCATTTAAATCTGTGAATCTTTAACTGGACATTTGTTTTGACCAAATCATTTGAATCATTAAGTAGACACTTGTTCAGACCAGATCGTTTGAATCAGTGAATCATTAGCTGGACTCTCGTTCTGACTGGATCATTTGAATGAGTAACTAGACACTTGTTCTGACTGAATCGTGTGAATTTGTGAATCTGTAACTGGACACTATCTCTGATCAGATCATTTGAATCATTGAATCTTGAACTGGACACTTGTTCTGACCAAATCATTTGAATCTCTGAATCTTTAACTGGGCAATTGTTCTGATTACATAATTTAAATCATTAAATGAACACTTGTTCTAACTGAATCATGTGAATCATTGAATCTTTAAATGGATACTATAGCTCTGATCAGATCATTTGAATCATTGAATCTTTAACTGGACACTTGTTCTGGCTGAATCAAGCGAATCATTGAATTTTTAACTGGACATTAGCTCTGATCAGGTCATTTGAATCATTGAATCTTTAACTGGACACAAGCTCTGATCCGCTCATTTGAATCATTGAATCTTTAATTGGACGCTTGTTCTGACCAAATAATTTGAATCTGTGAATCCTTATCTGTGCACTTGTTTTGTTTACATAACTTGAATCAATAAGTGAACACTTGTTCTGACTGAATCATGTGAATTTGTGAATCTGTAACTGGACACTTGTTCTGACTAAATAATTTGAATCTGTGAATCTTTAACTGGACAATTGTTCTGATTACATAATTTAAATCATTAAATGAACACTTGTTCTGACTGAATCATGTGAATCATTGAATCTTTAAATGTATACTAGCTCTGATCAGATCATTTAAATCATTGAATCTTTAATTGGAGGCTTGTTCTGACCAAATAATTTGAATCTGTGAATCTTTAACTGGACAATTGTTCTGATTACATAATTTAAATCATTAAATGAACACTTGTTCTGACTGAATCATGTGAATCATTGAATCTTTAAATGTATACTAGCTCTGATCAGATCATTTAAATCATTGAATCTTTAACTGGACACAAGCTCTGATCCGCTCATTTGAATCATTGAATCTTTAATTGGAGGCTTGTTCTGACCAAATAATTTGAATCTGTGAATCTTTATCTGGACACTTGCTCTGACCAAATGATTTGAATCATTGAATCTTTAACTGGACACTTGTTCTGACCAAATGATTTGAATAATTGAATCTTTAACTGGACACTTGTTCTGACCAAATGATTTGAATAATTGAATCTTTAACTGGACACTTGTTCTGACCAAATGATTTGAATCATTGAATCTTTAACTGGACACTTGTTCTGACCAAATGATTTGAATCATTGAATCTTTAACTGGACACTTGTTCTGACCAAATGATTTGAATCATTGAATCTTTAACTGGACACTTGTTCTGACCAAATGATTTGAATCATTGAATCTTTAACTGGACACTTGTTCTGACCAAATGATTTGAATCATTGAATCTTTAGCTGGGCAATTTTTCTGATTACATAATTTAAATCGTTAAATGAACACTTGTTCTTACTGAATCAAGTGAATCATTGAATCTTTAACTATACACTAGCTCTGATCAGATCATTTGAATCATTGAATCTTTAACTGGACACTTGTTCTGACTGAATCATGTGAATCATTGAATCTTTAACTATACACTAGCTCTGATCAGAGCATTTGAATCAGTGAATCTTTAACTAATCATATCAATTAAATCATTGAATCATTGACTGGACACTAGGGCTGCGTCTGAAATTTTATATATATACACTACAGTAAAGTACTGCTGAATAAAAAATGATGGTATATGTACTGTAACAAAGTTAAAAAACCCAATGTTGAACCGTCCACTAATGTTGAGTTGTTCATTTTGAGTAAACAGAAGAGTGTCTTTTCCCAGTGGTGCTCAGCGCTGTTCTCAGGTCAGTCGGTCACTGGTTAAATTAGATCATCTCCTCTTCTGCTGCAGTTTGTTTGGTCAGTGTTTTAGAAATGATTGTCTCTGTTTCAGAGGCGTTGTTTCTGCCTCTCTGAAAGGCCGGCTGAGGCCCCGGTCAGGCATTTGGCAGAGCCTGGAGAATTCTCTACAGAGATAACAAGATGACGTGAGCGTTTCCACACTGGGTCACTATTAATTACTGCTGACGTGTGGCAGAGACAGAGCTACTCTCTTAGTAGGTACATGTTAAGTGCAGCAAATACAGCTCTTTTGTGGCCTGTGCTCTT